TTTATTATTTGAGACAATTGCAAAATGTGTTGTTTCCCTGATTTCTTTCTCTTTTTTTTTTTTTTTTTGAGTACTAAATTTGTATCCAGTTAGTTTACTGAAAGCGTTTATCAGCAGTAGGAGTTCCCTGATAGAATTTTTAGGGTCACTTATGTATATTATCCTATCATCTGCAAATAAACATACTTTTTCCTTTCCAATTTGTAACTCATCTCCTTGATCTACTTCAGTTGTTTTATTGCTCTTGTTAAGAATTAAATACTATATTGGAGGGAGTGGACAACTTGGTCTTATTCCTGATTTTAGTGAAATTGCTTTGAGTTTCTTTCCATGTAAGTTAAAGCTGGCAGTGGGCTTCTTGTAAACTGCCTTTATTTTGTTGAGGTATATCACTTGTGTCTCTAATCTCTTCAGGCATTTTATAACTAAGGGGTGTTGAATTTTGTCAAAGGCATTTTCTTCATCTACTAAAATTATCATATTGCTTTTGTCTTTCAGTCTATTTATATGTTGAATTACATTTATCATTTTTTATGTTGATTCATCCCTGCATCACCGATATGAAGCCTATTTGATCATAGTGGATGATCTTTTTGATGTGTTCTTAGGTTCAGTTTTAGAGGATTTTATAGATAATTTTGCATCTATTTTCTTAAGGGAAATTGTCTTTCATCATTGGCTCAGTATGTGCTTTAGTTATCAGGGTAGCAGTGGCCTCAGCAAACAAATTAGGCAAAGATCCTTCTGATTCTGTTTTCTGGAATAACTTGAGAAATATTAGCATTAAGTCATTTTTGAAAGTCTGGTAAAATTCTGCACTAAAACCATCTGGCCATGGGCATTTTTAGTTGGAAGACTTTTAATAACTGCTTCTATTTCACTAGATGTTATAGGTCTGTTTAAATTGCTTATCTGGTCTTGATTTATTGCCTTTGGTAAGTGGTACATATGGAGAAAATTATCCATTTCTTTTTTATGGAGTACAGGTTTTAAAAGTATGTCCTTGTGATTCTCTGGATTTCCTCCCCATTTCTTTTTTATTTTTAAGTACTTTTTTTATTTTTGAAGCACTCTTATTTACATATCAGTCCCCCATTCCCTTGTCCTCCCATCCTCCCATGCTGCCCACGGACCCCCCAACTCTCCCCCACCCATTCTCTAGGGGTAGTGAGACCCTTCATGGGGGACATCAAAGTCCTTCACATCATTTGAGGGAGGGCTCAGGCCCTCCTTCCCATATCTGGGTTGTGATAGTACCCTTCCATAGGGAATGGACTCCCAAAGTCCATCTGTGCTCTAGGGATAAACACTGGCTCCATTGTTAGAGGTCCCATAGACTGCCCTAGCATCCTACCTGGCATCCACATTCAGAGGGCCTGGTTTGGTCCAATGCTGGTTGCCCAGCTTTATGATTAGAGTCTATGTACTCTCACCAAGTCATGTCAGCTGTTTCTGTGGGTTTCTTCAGCACCCACTTGGCTCATTTGCTCCTCCATCCTCCCTCTCTACAACTGGATTCTAGGAGTATGGCTCAGTGTTTAGCTGTGGGTGCCTGTTCTGCTTCGATCAGCTACTGGATGAAGACTCTAGGAATGGCAACCAAGGTAGTCATCAGTCTCATTATAGGGGAAGGGCATCAGTGGCAGCCTCTCCACCACTGCCTAGATTCTTAGTTGGGGTCATCCCTGTGGAACCCGTAACATTTCCCCTATGACAGACCTCTCTCCAAACCTATACTGGCTGCCTCTCTCTAGTCATCTCCTTTCTTGCCTTCCCCTATTCCTCCCCGGTCTCAGTCCTCCTGTCCTCCCCCCCTCCTTTTCCCCCTCTCCCCACCTCTCCCCTCTCTCCCCCTGTGCTCCCAATTTGCTCAGGTGTTTTTTGCCCCCCCTTCTTCAGGATCATGTGTTCTCTTTTTGTCCTCCTTGTTTCCTAATTTCTCTGCTCACTGTTTCTTTTTACATTCCTCTTTTCATTTCTAATTTTCTTAATTTGTGTACTCTGTTTCTGCCTTTTAGTTAATTTGGATAAGTGTTTGTCAATTTTATTGATTGTCCCAAAGGACCAACTCTTTGTTTCATTGATTCTTTGTATTTTTCTCTTTGTTGCTATTTTATTGATTTCACCACTTTTTATTTCTTCCTATCTACTCCTGGATATGAATTCTTCTTTTTGATCTTGAGCTTTCAGGTAGACTGGTAAGTCACTAGTATAAGATCTCTCTAACATTTTATGTAGGCACTTAGTGTTATGAACTTGAATCTCAGAAACTTCTTCATTGTGTCACATTTGTGATATGTTGTATACTCATTTTCATTCAATTCTAGAAAGTCTTTAATTTCTTTCTTGACTAACTTTTCACTCGATAGTGAGTTGCTCAGTTTCTATGAGTTTTTAAGCTTTCTATCGTTTCTATTGTTGATATCCACCTTTAATTTGTAGTGGTCAGATAGGATGCAAGGTATTCTTTCAATTTTATTGCATTTTTTGATAATTCCTTTGTGCCTGAGTATGTGTTCAGTTTTGGATGAACACCAGCCACAGAAGGTCTACTACAGAATTGGGAATAAACTGCTAATTGAAAATGGAGAAATGAAAAGACAGGTGAAGCTCTGCAGTCAGCCTACCTGCTTCCCTGTCCACAGTATCCTGTGGGTTCCCAGAGATTGCCTGTTGGAGTTGGGGTATGGTGTAAAGTGATGGGTGGGGGAAGGAGAGTTAAGATGGGACGATTTGTGGAAGGGGGCATTTTGGGGGGAGCTCAGCAGGTGTTCTGCCACAGACTGGGGATGAGGCTAGGGGATTGGATTTGAAGAAACAGAGAAGTGAAATCTGCAGTCAACCCACATGCTTCCCTGGCCATCAAGAATGAACCATTTTATATATTGCTGTGTACATATTGTTTATATCTAGCTGCTAGAAATAGTATTGCAAGGGGAAATTGATCAAGCAGTGGTTTTGACCCCCCCACACACACTTCTATTTTTCTCTCTGCACTTCCCTGCAAACAGTATCTTTTGCCTCTGTTAACTATTTCTTTTTTCTGCCCTGCACTTTGGGCATAGTTTTGCCCTGGAGACTTTCCTACTAGGCTTTGTCTTATACCTACAGTTTTCAGTAAGGTGGATACATCTGGGGCAGGGCTTGTGCTTGAGAAAGGAACTACAGATCTTCTGTATACTAGCATGTTGATGGTTTTGATAGGTGGTCTTTGGCTGTTGGAGGGAACATTGTCAGCCTAGATGAGAACAATTCATTTAAAACATATATGTATATTTACACAAAGACGTACATGTATTATGTGGATTTTTTAGGTAAGTAGTTAATAGTATGATTCCTTGTGACTTTTCAGACATCCTAACTATTATGTTACCCTCCTCCCTCCTTATTTTGTATTTACCTTCCTACCCCCACCCCCTGAAGTTACTCCACGATCAAAATAAATTTTATAAAAACCTTTAAATAAATGATTACCTTGTAGTTCCTCTCCCTCACTTTTTCCCCAAACTTTTCTTTCTTTGCCTACTGATGCAAACAAATAAACAAAAACAAAGTTGGAATGAGGGTTGCTTTCACCATATGCAGGCAGAAAATTTCATGGACACTAACAGAAATTGAAATGAGTGTAGACAAGAGATGTAAAGTGACAATTTACACACTTGTACAACTGGTCTATCAGGCATCTGGATTAGGAGCAGTGACAGCCTAACTTGAATAGAGCAGAAAGTCTCATTAAGAAAGAATAAAGAAATCCTAGTGTGGAAGTGTCAGATTCTCTGTACTTTGAAGCTGCTGTATTTACAGTTCCTGGTCTCTCTATTTTTCAATGGAAAAGAATGAGACTCTTGTCTTATTGTTTGGAATTTCTTCTGAGGATGCCATAGATACAGTGAGAAAGTAAGAACATTAGAGAGGGAGTGAAATTGGCTCTTCGATGAACTGTCAAATGGAGCCTCAAAAGAGAGACAAAAAAGATTAAAATTTAGGGATGGAATTAAAAATAATTCATTTTCATTTGGATTTTTCTATACTTTGCAGATGGAAATGAATGTTTGTGAGGTCTGTATTTCAGTAGTGGAGCAATAAGCTAGCATTGCCCAGCGCCTGTGCTCAGTCCCCAACACAGACTATGACACACACCCTTGGTTTTTATCATAAGGTCAACAAGACTCAGAGCAATAAATGTTTACCTCCCAGCCTCTCCTGATGTTGGAAGATTTATAAGGTTAAAAGATCACTTGTTTCTGAGGCCTGGAATCAGAACTGGTTTCTAAACATGAAAGAACCTTTAAATATGAAGTCTATCCATAAGTTGTAAGATTCTGAAACTAGTCTCCAGGGGCAACACAGATGCTCTAAGAGTATGTGTCTTTATTGGAATGGCAATAAGGTGCCCCTGGTGCAGGTGCCATTGGAGAAATGCATGCAGAAGATATATGGAGAGCTCATGTGTGGCTGAGGTTATTTTTATCAAACTACATGTAAAAACAAAGAGACATAAGTAAAGAAAAACTCGAGGTAAACTTTTGTATAATAATTTTCTTTACATTTGTGTGGGGGGCGGTGTATGTTTATCCTCTAGGTAAACTTTGTATTTTTATTTTCTTTACATATGTGTGTGTATGGGGAGGTGTATATTATCCTTGTGTGTCATGGTATGGCTGTGCAGATCATACAACCACTTTTGGGAGTCAGTTCCCTCCTTCCATCATGTGTGTCCTTGGTTTAAATCTCAGGTTAACTCACTTGGTGGCAAGTATCTTGACCTACTGAGCCATCTCATTAGTGAAAGTTTTATTGTCTTGAGTAAACATCCTAATATTAATTGATGAAAATTTTAGTTGGAAAAAATGGTTTTAGAATGAATAACAAACTCTTACAAATTCTTTACATAGCATGTAACTTTAATCTGTGAGCTAAGCATGGAGCGATATAGCTGAATTAAATGAGGACGTTCTTAATTATTTATATTTTGTGTAAAATTCTCTTTCTTTCCTCAGAATAAAAGCTTGAAAACCAAACTGTTGTCAGGAAGCAAGCTGTGTGGAATCCATGCAGAAGAGGTGAGCAAATATGACCTTTTCACAAGTTTGACTGGTTAAAATTAATATTAAATTAAATCTTGTGTAATCTGAAGAACCAATGGCTTTTCCCTTAACACAAATGAAAAGTACTGGATGGAAAATAAAATACATTTTAGTTTTGTTTATATCTAATTTTATCCACATGAAAAAATAAAAACGTTATTGTTCAAGTGGTTGAGTTGAGCCCTGTACGATAAAGGAACTTTGGGAGGCATCACCATGCCTGACTTCAAGCTCTATTACAGAGCTATAGTCCTGAAAACAGCTTGGTATTGGCACAAAAATAGAAAGGTAGACCAATGGAATAGAGTTGAAAACCCTGATATTAAGCCACACACCTATGAACACCTACCTGATTTTTGATGAACAATACAAATTTATACTATGGAATAAAAAGAATATCTTCAACAAATGTTGCTGGCATAACTGGATGTGAATATGTAGAAGACTGCAGATAGACCCAAGCCTATTGCCATGCACAAAACTTATGTCAAAATGGATAAAAGACCTCAATATAAACCCAGCCAGACTGAACCTATTAGAAGACAAAATGGGAAATACCCTTGAATTAATTGGTACAGGAGACTGCTTCCTGAACATTATACCAGTAGCACAGACACTGAGATCAACAATTGATAAATGGGACCTCCTGAAACTGAAAAGCTTCTGTAAGGCAAACGACATAGTCAGCAAAACAAAACAGCAGGCCACAGACTAGGAAAAGATATTCACCAACCCCTCATCTGACAGAGGGCTGATCTCCAAAATATACAAAGAACTCAAGAAGCTAGTCTCCCAAACACCAAACAAGACAATCTAAAAAGTGGGGTACAGAACTAAATAGACAATTCTCACTAGGAGAATCTAAAATGGCTGAAAGACACATATGAAAGTGTTCAACATCCTTAGCCATCAGGGAAATGCAAATAAAAACAACTCTGAGATATTATCTTACTCCTGTCAAAATGGCCAAAATCAAAACACCAATGACAGTTTTTGCTAGAGAGGATGTTGAGAAAAAGGAACACTCCTCCACTGCTGGTGGGAGTGCCAACTTGTACAGCCACTTTGGAAATCAGTATGGCAACTCCTCAAGAAAATGGGAATCAGTCTACCACAAGATCCAGCAATTTCACTCTAGGACAAACACCCAAAAGAAGCACATTGATACAAGGACATCTGTTCAACGATGTTCATAGCAGCACTATTTGTAATAGCCAGAAACTGGTAGCAGCCTAGATGCTCATCAACCAAAAATGGATAGAGAAAATATGGTACATTTACACAATGGAGTACTACTCAGCAGAAAAAATCAATGGCATCATTAAATTTGCAGACAAATGGATGAAATTAGAAGAAACCATTCTGAGTGAGGTAACCCAGTCACAAAAAGAAAAACATGGTATGCACTCACTCATACGTGGATTTTAGACATAGAGTAAAGGATTACCAGCCTACAATCCACACTGCCAGAGAAGCTAGTAAACAAGGAGGACCCTAAGAGAGACATACATGGTCCCCTGGAGAAGGAGAAAGGGTCAAGAACTCCTGAGAAAATTGGGTGCACTGAAAGAGGGAGGAGGGAGCTAGGAAAGTGAGAAGGGGAGAAGAGGAGGGATGCAGAGGAGATGAGGGAGCAGAAAGTTTGAGTCAGGGGAGGAGTAGAAGATAACAAGAATGGAGATACCATAATAGAGGGAGACATTTTAGGTTTACAGAGAAATCAGGCACCAGGGAAATGTCTGGAGATCTACAAAGATGACACCAGCTAACAATGTAAGCAACAGAGGAGTGGCTACCTTGAATGCCCTCCCGGTATAATGAAATTGATGACTGACTTATATGCTACCTGATAGCTCTCATCCAGCAGTTGGTGGAAGTAGAAGCAGACACCAACAACTAATCACTGAACTGAACTAGAATCCAGATGCAAAGGACGAATGATGAGCAAAGAGGTCCAGACCAGGCAGGTTTTACAGAAACAGCTGACCTGAATATTGGGGAACTCTTGCTCCCTAGACTGATAGCTGGGATACCAGCATGGGACTGATCCAGACCCCAGGAACATGGGTTTCAGTGAAGAAACCTTGGAAATCTATGAGACCTCCTGTAGTAGTTCAGTTATTATCAGTTCATTAATAGGTGTGGACTCCTATCTCAATTGTATCGACCAATTCTCCCCAGTAGGAAATTATCAGAAGCCCACTGTATTTTCCTTATGATTTGTGACACCTATATACCACCAGTAAAGTTCCTGGAATTATGTAAGTTTACCAAACAAATAAACCATTTGTTCTATTTTCTGTACAACAATATTTTCTCATATATTACTCTAGCAGGAACAACCATTCTGAGTAATATATATTGAAACAATATAGTCATTTTTAGCTAATTCTGACCTGATGCTAAATTCAAAATAAGCCTGTAGCTTGTAGGACCTATTAAGTAGAGTGGTAAAGTAATAGTGAAGTTTACAAGTAAGGGCAATTTAAAGACATAAGAAAAGAGTTCCTGTGTCCCAGGAATCTTTAGAAAGCATGCATGGCCGGTCATTGGTGGTGCACGCCTTTAATCCCAGCACTTGGGAGGCTGAGGCAGGTGGATCTCTGTGAGTTCGAGGCCAGCCTGGTCTCCAAAGCTAGTGCCAGGATAGGCTCCAAAGCTACACAGAGAAAACCCTGTCTCGAAAAAAACCAAAAAAAAAAAAAAAAAAAACGAAAGAAAGCATGCATGAAGACAAATTACATACTAAAAAATCCAGTGAATTATAAGGAATAGACATAGAAGCTTTTCCATTCTGGGAAGACCTGATGCCTAGGTAAAAAAAAAAAAAATGGCATGGCAGGAAACTTAATAGAAAGTTAACCCTCATTCCCATGGATGTCCAGAAGGGAGACTAAGAGCTATTCAGACAGACCCATCATTATCTAACTATGAAATTGTCTCACTTCCCTTTTGTCAAGAATTCCTTTCACATCACCTCTGTATAGATGGAAAAAGGGAGTTTTCTTGGTGGAATAGAAACATTGTTTTGAGTTCTCCAGTTAAGAAAGAACACAATGTCCCTTATTCTTCAGTTTGTAAAAACAAGGTCACATGCTTAGGCAATATGGGAGCTCAACATATATTCTAAAACAAAGCCATTATCTAAAATAACACTGTACCTCAAAGCTTATATGTGATATATATATATGCTTTAAGACATGGAAAACCGGTGTTGGAAAATACAACTGGGTAGTTTCTAGATCTGAAGACAGGGAAGTGCTTCATTTTGTTTCATTTTGCTGTTTGGACAGAAATAAGCATGATTTTGTTCCCTTGTTCATATTATTGGGATTTTTGAGATAACACAAATGTGAATTGTGACACTTACACTGTGATGTAGTAAGTAGAGTGACATTTTTGAATAAGGAGTATCTAAGCCATACGTGGCACAAGCACTTGTGAATCAAGCACTTGGGCTATAGGACTGTAAGATCATGATTTCAAGGTGGTTCTCAGCTACAACAGTGACTCTTGAGGGAGACGCTTAAGACTCTATCTCAAGAAACAAAAACAATGGGAAATATCTGGATAAAATTTACACTCAACATGTTACCAGGGTCCCCACAAAACTCAAGTACAGAAAAGGAACACTAGAAGTATAGATGGTGTTCAGAACATTAAATAGTTCCTACCTTTAGAGTTTATCTTCTTCATTCAAGAATGTTCCTTATTTCCCTCAGTTCAGTGAAAATTAAATCTCATTTGTTCATCACTGTGTTCTTCATGCTATTTCCTTAATGGTTGAAATGTCATTAGTTCATAGAACTTATTTGCTTTGCCATATCTTGTTAAATATTTATAGAACAATAATAGAGTTCAGTATTCTGAGTAATAAGGGAAATGTTTACACTGTCACAGAGTATTTTAAAATAACATGTACGAAATTTTACTGTTTGGTTCATCATTATTTCTTAAAACAAAGTAACAGTCTTCTCTGCTGGAGACTAGCTAGCTGAAAGCATCCCATCATCTGGGTCAGAATACTGAACTCGGCTCTCGGCTCTATCTATACCCACGCAGGAATGAAATAGACTGTGGTTTGGCATACAAGAACGTGTGTGGTGGCTTTTTCTGGGGAGATGTGAACAAATATGTATTCACCACACATAGGGCACTAGAAACAGAATGAATACAAGCAGCTGCATCACGGAAATCCTAACACAGCATGGGCAATGGCTCAAAAATCTGCATCTCTCTGGCCTTGGTGCACGATGGAAGAGATTTCCTGCTACCCAGAAATCGCTGCTGTTTATGTGACCTTGATGAGGCTGCCAGGAGGCGTCTAAATTCCTGGGCTTCCTGAGAATAGTGAATAATGATCAGCTTCCCGAGTCTTAGGAGCCTCCCTCCTCCAAAAGCTAATGTTTCAATCCAGAGATAATAGTTATACAACCAACAGTAAAAACTGCAAATACTACCAACACCATCTGCCATCACAACTGCTATTATTTGCTATTATTTCATAAAGGGAATGTTACTTGAACATAAATTTGTAGGAAAGAATCTCAAATTAGATAGTTGTCTCCTTAGACTAGGGAGCTAAAATGTTCTGTCATGGCTGCCTTCGTCTCTACATCCTCATCATGGTTTTCTTCTAGATGCCACTATCATTATTCCCAGCTGTAATTAGCTCATGCACATGCAGGCACTCCATGACGTATCATGAGCTGATATTTGGAATTATGTTTTACAATTACCTATGTAGACAAAATAAATTACTGACATTCCAAATATTTTATCATTTGTTAGAGGCTTATCCCTTTGGATAATTTCAATGTATCAAATATTTCTGACAAGTTAAGACAACTAGCATGTTATATGGTTTCAAATTAACATGCATCCCACAATAGATACATTTCTTCAGAAGTGTTTGTTTTGTATACTCTTTCTGAAAACCTAAGAAAGGATTTTGCTTATTATATATTGATAATTAGGTCTGGACTATGAAATGTGTGTAGAAACAATTGGTAAATTATCTTCACGATAACAAAGGCCAAGAAACTGCCATGACCTGGTCACTAAATGCACACACAAATTTGTGCACATTTGTGCGTGGGCACACACACACACACACACACACACACACACACACACCACACACAGACACAATCACTCACACATGAACACACACAACAAAAATATGGAAAATACCTTGATTTAATTATAATTTTGTATACTAAAACCACTATCGAATGGTGCTTTAAGTCTTTATTGTTGTAAAGAAAAGTTTAGATCTTAATGCCCACTGTCTATGTTAAATAAATTGTAAATGTATATCACAAATAGTTAACTTTGTGACTCCTGAAACTTACAGCACTAATTATCAGGCTTGGAGATAGCATTGGATAGATCTCCAGCAGTGATCTGCCAATTCCCACCCACACTTATCAATTCTATTTGAGAGAAAGACTGTTTTCCTGAGAGACTATTCTGCTTAGCTAAGAGTCCTGAAGACCATGTGGAACAGGATCGTCCTTTACTAAAGTGTGTGGTGGATGTAATGATAGCCATGTAAATTTGAATCATGGCAGAGAAAAACTCAGTGTGAGATGAGGCTCTGAACCTGTTAGCATCATTGTGAACACTTGGGAAACTTTGAAGAACAGTTATAGGAAGCATTTATTCTAACATAAAAGCATAAGTTCCAGAGGCTGAAGGGTCATGTGTAAGTGTTCTTTATTACCAGCCTCTGACAATTCCATGTTGTCACTAATAAATTTTAGTCTTCATGTCCTGACATTTCACTGTCCATATCAGGAAAAGAGGGTAGCTTTTGGTAGACATGGGATCCTCTTAAAAAAACAAAACAAAGCAAAAACTTCTAATAGTTGGCTTTGTTATCAACTTCTTTCTAAAAAATATTTTTAATTTAATTAAAATATAATTTCATCATTGCCCCTCTCTTTCCTCCTTATTCTTCCCTTGCTCCTAATTCCCACTCACCCTCAAATTCACAGCCTATGTTTTTTGATCATCATTGTTACATATGCTTATACAATATGTAAATACTGTCTGTTGGGTCTGTTTAGTGTTGCCTGCATGTGTGGGTTTCTAGGGCTTACCACTGGTACCAGAGGGCTCATTCCTTGGGAAGATTAATTCCTCTCCCTCCTGGAATTTGGTCTAGCTTGGGTTTGAAAGGCTTGGTGAATACTATCATAATTTCTCTGAGTTCATAAGTAAAGCTGTCCTGAACTGCTTCACAATTTTTCACTTATTTCAGATCTTACAGCCTGCTATTCTTGACATTATTATGATTTTAGAATGTGGGATAAAGAAGTAAGCACCTACTATTCTTCATTATGTTTTGTGTATTCACCCATGAGCATGTGCATATGTACATGATGGATATGCCCATGTGGATGTTTCTCCCCAATGAAGTATGAGAGGACCTACTATTTCAAGAGTAAAAATTCATTGAACCGAGGGACTCCCATTACAGTATTTGTAACTGTGTCTTTTCTAAAGGGCTAAGGACACATCATTTTCTGCTGCTTACAGATAAATTATAAGGATGTGGTAAATATGTGTAGCAATATGCTATTAGGAGAAATTGAGTTTGTTAAACATTTTTATATTTATAAGTATCCTGTTATAAAGTGTGGCCTTCTGTAACCCAATTCACCCTTCAATAATAGAATTTTGCTGGCATTCTGTCCGTTTGTTTGCTAGTTTCCATTGAAAATACAGTGAATTAAAACCTGTCGATTCATTTACACTTACCCATCATTGATCTTAAAAAGCAATTAAATAAAAACAGAGATTTACAACCATGTCTTTGCTACTTAAAATTAGATTTTTGTCATGCCTGAATTATAGATATTTTTCATGTTTATGTATTGAGTAGAACACAGAAAGATTATTTAAATAACACCTTCATAAACATATAATTTTTTTAAACAGGCTGAATCCTTGCTTCCTGACCCAGATGTCTACATGTCTGATGTTAAAGCTAAATTTAGTCTTCTCTGTTGATTGTCCAAATTATAGGCTTCTGTTTGAGTCAGCTGAAGCATTTATTTCTGTGCAGTGGGAAAAAAATTTAAGTCTTAAGATTGAAAATATAAGTGAGCATAGGCACTAATGCATACCTCTGCCTTTACAGTCAAAAAAAATCCAAGCCCAACTGAAAGAGCTCCGTTATGGGAAGAAGGACTTATTATTTAAGGTAAGCATCTTGCCTGCTTTTTCCTCCCAAATGCCTTCTCAACACCTAATCTACTAAAAATATTACTTGGACTAATTGAAATTTCTGGACATTCTAATGAAGAATCACTATTGGCTGAGTTGTGGTTTCCTCTATATTCCCACCTCTTAATGATTGAGTATGAGTGAATCACTATGTTCATATGTAGTCAAAGGTAGATTTAATTCTAATGTATTTACAGCTCCTATAACTTTACTTATGGTCATTAAGTATTTAGAAGAGTTGCCTTTGTTAGACTTCCATAGAATACAGCATATATAGAGAAAGTTTTTACACATACATTTGACTGGTGACCTTGGAATCTTTTTTCCCAAGAGATTATTTTTTATTAGTTCAACTAGAAACAAAAATGCGTCACATGTCAATCCAATCTCACTCTCCCTCCCCTCAACCCTCCACCAGCTCCCCACCTCATCCCCCTTCGGCTCCCCAGGGAGGGTTAAGGCCCTCCATGGGGGTTCCCCAAGTCTGTCATATCATCCTGAGCATGGCCTAGGCCCTCCCCCATGTGTCCATGCTGAGAGAGCATCCCTCATTATGGGATGGGCTCCCAAAGTCCTTTCCTACGCCAGAGATAAATACTGATCCACTACCAGGGGCCCCATAGAGTGCCAAGGCCTCCTCATTGACATCCACATTCAGGGGTCTGGGTAAGTCCAGTGCTGGCCTCCCAGACATCAGTCTAAGTTCCATGTGCTCCCCCTTGTTCATGTCAGCTGTTTTTGTGGGTTTCACCAGCCTGGTTCTGACCTCTTTGCTCTTCACTCCTCCTTCTCTGCAGGTTCCAGAGTTTAGTTCAGTGTTTCACTAAGGGGGCTCTGCCTCTGCTTCCATCAGACACTGGATGAGGGCTCTGGGATGGCATTTAAGGCAGTCATCAGTCTCATTATAGGGGAAGGACATTTAGGGTAGCCTTTCCACTATTGCGTAGATTGTCAGTTGGTATCATCCTTATAGATCTCTGGAATTCTCCCTAGTGCCAGATCTCTGCTCGAACCTATAATATCCCTCTATTACTACCTAGCTCTTACAACTTAAATTAACCCATTTTTATCAATTACATGTTGCTTCATGACTCATGACATTTACCTATCCACTTGAATGTCTTGCTCCTCCTGTCTGTCTAGCAACTCTGCCATTCTTCATCCCAGAATGTTCTCTCCCTGTCCACAAGTTCCACCTAACCTCTTCCTGCCTAGCCATTAACCATTTAGCTCTTTATTAAAACAATGAGAGCAACACTCTTCACAGTGTACAAAAATATTGTGACAAAAGATAACCCATGGCATTCATTTCAGATTTGTTATCTTGAAAACAATATGACATTCTGTTTTCTGTAATTTAGTTTATGAGAATTACTTACAGTTCATTCATTCTTACCCAAGGATAGAGAGTAAAGTCATTGACTTATGTTCTTTTTCTATCTGCTTTTTTCCTGCAGTACTGGGATAAACACTTAGACTTTTATAAGTAGGTATAATAATATGTCAGTAAAATAAGATTAAATTATATGTAATATTTACTTCTTAACATGTTTTTACTGTAATGATCACTGTAAGTAAAAATTGCAAATTACTTTTAAGATATAAATATTTTACTAAATGTGGGGGTGAAGTGGTTTCTATTGAAAACAGTGAGAAACGCTGGAGTGGTACACTCCAGCTTACTCTTGACTTTAGAATCAGAGGAAGTGTTCTGATTATGCCAACAGGTATATTTATCTAGCCATGATTCTGGTACATCTTGATAAATGCTCTTCCTCCCTTTGCTTTGGTGCCCTTTAATCCACAGTATCTGGAGCCCTAAGAAAAGATCTGGACCTGTCAGAAATGAAACTCCAAATATCTGGAGAAAGCTGTCACTGTTTATGAATAATTTCAGTAGAGAATAAACAATTATTTGTAAGTGGGATTGAATAAAGAACAAGATGTCATAACTGACAAAGGAGATTCTCAGGACTTTTCTGTGCCATCCATCCCCTCTCAGCTTTTCTGGCATGACCTCCTACTTAGGCTTAGCCTGTCACCTCTGGAATGTTGTGACTGTGACCTAAAATTAGCCATTGTAGGTCAGATCCTGTCCTTGTGAGTAGGCTTTCCAAAGAACCACAGAGGAGGACAGGGTGTTATTGGTCAATGTCATGACTGTATTGAGGAAGAACTAGTTTCTGTGATTCACTGTGGGAAAGATAAGAAGGCTGGACAAGTTCACATAGAGAATATCTGAGATTCACCCAGTGTTGTTCAGTTGAAAGTACTTGGCACTCTAAGGTGACAATTTTTTTCCTTATGGAGCACTATAAAACAGATCAGTTTATTATTAAGTTTTTGAAAGTTTATACATTCTGGAAGTAAGTGTGTGTGTGTGTGTGTGTGTGTGTGTGTGTGTGTGTGTGTGTGTGTGAAAGTGTGATTTTTCATTCTCCTGTCTCTCTCTCTTGTATTCTTCCATTCTCAGTACCCTTGCTTGCATAGAGGGATTTTTTTGTGGTTGTAAGTGTGTCTAAGTAACAGTGAGACTACAAGTATATAGCACAATTCTAAGTCTCTAAAATGTTATCAATTTCATTATGTTTGTGCTTTCCCCAATTCCAGACTGTCCATTCTGGACATTGCTGATAGCCCTATCATTCTTTCCTGTTGACTTTCCATCTAGCCTCAAACTCTCATTCCAAAAAATGATATAGTTTTCAAAACTCATTTCTAGATGGCACTCAAATGTTAAACTTTATGCCGTGATGCTTCTGTAAGAGCCACCCAACCCTGATAGGATTGGATCATTTCTGCCTCGTCATTGCAGTGGTAATTGAAAGCTGTTGTAGAGACGTGATATAAAAGTTAGAGCTGTGAAGCTTGCAAAACTTCTGAATGTTACAGAAGGTAGCCAAAATAAAGACAGTAATGCTGGCAGCATACTGCCCTTTGGGTCTGAAGGGTGGGTTGAGCGTGGGATTTTTGCTTACCTTTACATATTCTTGTTAGGTCCATCATGTTAAGTTTATGGCTTGGCCTCCCAAGCAGTCTTCTCCCTGAAAAGGGCCTTTAATTCATACTAAATGAAGGTGACTCCCTATTTCTTCCTTGATACAAATAGAGCAGTCAGATATCATGAACCTCTTGAGGGGAAAGCACTTCCCTTCAGGAACTGTCTGGAGATACTCCAGGCCCAGAGCTGTGCAAAGCTCCCCAAGGTCAAATGTCATGCTGTGGTGGCAGAGGATGCTCATAAATGTTTATCATCTTAGTTTTTCTTAGTACACAGAAGATTAAACAATATTCCTAGTCAGACATGTTTAATTTATTTTCCTGAAATTGTAAACTAGAGGTCACAGCACATTTTAGGCACACAGTTGAGCACCCTGAACTTACTCTCCAGGAAAAGTCCATTTTTTTCTCAGTTCTTGTAGTTAGTAACCCTCAAATAGGTCTTATCTTCAATTGAAATACAGAAAAAATATAGTAATGTCTCTATTCTGAACTTAAATTTTATTATCACCATAAAGTGAAAGAGCCATAAACATCCAGGGATTTCACACATTATATAGTTTTTAAAGTACCTAGTTTGACTATCTTTTATATTAATTGTGAGGAAAGCAGATTCAAATGACAGGCACAAATTGCTGTCCTATGAATACTCTTTTGGCAGCATCATTAGATGCTTGTCCTCTGTTATGACCAGAGGCATTTCAAATCTATATTGGAGTTGGGTGTGGTGCGTCCCTTTAAACCTAGTGCTCTGGATGCAGAGGCAGACATCTGTGAGTTCCAGGCTGGCTTTGTCCACACAGTTAGTTCCAGGACAGCCAATGGCTATATGGTGGAACCCTGTCTTTGAAAACAAAGAAACAAAGCAAAACCTACATCTGTGAACATCTATGATTTAGTTCTACTATCCTTCATGTTGTGTATTCACTTACAAGGGTGTTTGTTAACCTATACATAACGAAAAAGAAGATAGTTGCTGCTTAATTGCATAAAAAGCTGAGTAACAGACACTATTTATAGCAGTGTATAAAAAGGAGAGACAGACTACTATAAGTCTACAGCAACAGGGTCTTACCTTCAACCTATGAGAAGCAACCAAGGACTATATCAATAGTCTATATTGTTTCTGGTGTCACTTGGACTACCCTGACCAATTAATCTAAAGGAGGTTTATTGTACCTATTAATGGAGTTTGTGTAGTAGTTCTTGTGGTTGGCATTTTCAGCTCATGTGGCCAGACTTCAAATATGAAGTAATATGACTCCTTGAGGCATTATCAAATGATCTTAATGTAAGTGGCCTTTCATTCCTCTTTCTCCTCCTGTATTGGCCTCAAACCCTCCAAGAATTAACATCTTTTTGGTACAAGGTCTTTCATTAAACATAAAGCTCTTCTATACAACAAGGCTGATCAGCCAATGAGCTTCTGGAATCTAACCCTGCCTGTTCAGTGCTGGCTTTATTGACCTGCTGCTACCCATGATACTTTATATGAATTCTAGGGGTCTGAACTCAAGTCCTCATACATCACAGCAGACACTTTACTGACACAGCCATCTTCCCAGCCCAATAATTGAAGTTTCTTAATGCAATTGCAACTGAAATTGTCCAGAAACACATTTGAAATTTTATATTATTTTTGTCTCCTTTTCCATTAGCTTTAATTCAATTCTCTATGAGAATAATTGACCTTTAAATTCAATATCTAGTATGTTAGAGAAACCTTACTATAATAATTCAATATCATTCTTTATTCTATTTTAGATAATTTTTATAAAGATTAGACTAGTAAATTATTTCATAAAATCTCTAAAGTCTGCTGAAATACTATTATTATTGAAAATAGCCCTATGAATTCTTTTCTTGTAGAGCAGAAACTACCAGCTCTGTCTTACAGTACCTCCCATTTCTCCTTATATAAAAACTGTTTAAATTAAATACATTGTGGAGAATAGTAATCACACTTTATTATATCAA